AGGAAAACTTCCCAAGCGCCAAGGAAAACTGACCAGGTCACTTTTCCCGAAACGATAAGTCCAGTGCGGACAGTGCGAGTCAGTAAAAGCGGCTCAGGAAAGCGTACATCCAGCCCGAGCGCCCTGTATGTTATGCATACAGAGACCGCAGGAACCTGCAAGAGCAGTGGCGGAACATTTTGTAGAAACACGCTGCGGTGTATCATCAAGTCCGATCGGTAAAATCTCGTTAAAATATATATTTCAACGGAGAAAAACCTACACACAGAGAGAGAGAGATCACGTTCTGAGAATTAATTTGCGGAAATTCTCTTTCTCCACCGATGTATGTTATTTTCTAGGATCCAAATTCGTCCTGATACGCTACTGTAGTCATGCAGTGAGCATCATGGTCCGGTACCGTACGTAGGCCGTAGTCACTGGTTCCTGGCCCACATCATAGCTTCAATTCTGTAAGCATGCGATGGAAACCAACGAATACTGATGGCACTGCTGCCGCACGGAACATCGTACAGCAGCATGGCTTCGACGACGTGCATCACAAATGCGTCAGAATTATAGGCATTTTCGTCAAGATTTAGCGTGTCAAGATGAAATAATATCATGTAAACGATTATGTTGTGCATGCAAATGGCGTGTGTAATATTACTGTGCGTATCGGCGGCTGAAAATGTGATCGGCAATTTGTTTCCTGTGTACGGTGACCGTGAGTCATGATTATACTGACACTGTGACAGCTCGGTTACTTCTCCCACGCGGTCTGGGTAAATTTTCCCGTGTCGAAAGTCCAAGTGCGGACAGTGGTCACATTTGACCATTTCTCATTTTACCATCGTCTCGGTAAAACCTTGCAAAAAAAAAGTCCAGTGCGGACACGGCTTAAGGAACAGTCCAATTTGTTGGAATCCATTCAACGAAGAGCTTTGAGAATTATTATCCCTGGTAAGTCTAATGCAAAGGCAATGGAGCAGGTAGATATTCAAAGTCTATATGCCCGCGCAGGAAGTCACTGTGTGAGCAGTTATTCGCTGACATGTCAAATCCTAACTTTTCATTTGCTCGAAAAACACCAGCCTGTATCGTATGCATTAAGGAACCAGAGACAGTTCAGCCTGCCTTTCTGTAAAACGAACAGACTAAAGAATAGTTTCATTCCCTGGTGTCTTTATAATTTACAGTCCTAATTGTTAGTCACTTTATAGCAATGTTAAGTTGATGCTGATGTTGATATTAATGACTATTTTAGGTTGAAGTGTTTTTATATCGTGTGAAGTTACCTGTGAATGCATGTGTGTCTAAATGATTTAAATATGTATTATAACTGAAATGTTTTGTTTTTAAATTTAAATACTTGTCATGACCGGTGGAGCTCTGTTAGTCATGTTCTAGGTATATGTGAAAGTATGTTTCCAGTAACTTGGTTACTTTTAGAAGCTTTTAATGTTTAATGTGCATTGCTATTTAAAAGGTTTAATATTTCAAACTCAAATGTAATTTAAATATCTTTCAAAATGTTTTTAATCCAACCATTTTAGATGCTTTGGTTGCTAATAATAATAATAATAATAATAATAATAATAATAATGTACTTGTGACTGGGCTTATGATGCACTTGTGACTAGACTTATGATGTACTTGTGACTGGACTTGTGATGTACTTGTGACTAGATTTGTGATGTACTTGTGACTGGACTTGTGATGTACTTGTGACTGGACTTGTGATGTATTTGTGATTTATCAATCTTAAGTATCTCGGCCACAAGCAAAGACAATGATCTTACCTGAGTGAATACCGATGCGGAGTTTGAGTTTCTCATCTTGTTTGTGTGGCATGATCAACTATCAACGCCCTCCAGAAGATGCCATGCAGTGGAGGCGATCATACCAGCATGACGGCTGCCATTACGGATCAGTAGGCAAGAGACCAACATGTAGGCATCGTCGATGCTTTCAACCTTGGCAAGATGTTATTATTTAACACTGGTTAATTTTGCTTTCAGACATTATCATAGAACATACATATTTGCGTGGTTTTTCCCTGAACTAGTAACCATGGTAGCATCAACTTAACCTCTGAGTGATTGTCATGACTACGCCTGCGAACAGCCGAGTAATGTTGACAATGATAATGCAAGTGACTCTTTGTAATTATATCACCGCACCCACAGATTCTGTGTTTTTCAGTGGCCGAGAGTGTGCATCACATAGTATTTGCTATTTTCCGTCTACATGTACATGGCTAAAAGGACTATATGACACCTTCCATTTTAATACTGACTACTTTGAGTGGCATAATCAAACTAGCCTCCTAGACCTGTTTTATAATGCCACTCAAAGCAGTCAATATGCAAGACTACATTTGTATAAGCATAGCTTGTAAAGTACTCTGATAGTAAAACAGATCTAAGATGGTAGAATCAAGTTAAGGGGTTACGGGTTAAGTGCTTTCTGTCAATGTATTGTTGATCATTTCATGTTTGCATATTAACCATAATAAATGAACTTGGATAAGTGTATTAAGTATAATCTATTGCAAGTACCCTTTAAAACTAACTTCCTGTGATATGGCACGTTTGGCTTAACCAGTTCACATCAGACAACGTGTATGTATACACGCAAGGTTTTGTGGTAATCGGAATGGATGATGGATAAACACACAACAAGCGAGGCCCGAAATGTCTGTCAGTGGCCCGCTTGCAGCGAGATACCCGTAGATGACAGCCTGAAGCCGTCTGGCATCCAGATTCATGAAAACAATCCCAAGTCTTGGTCTTGTCAATATCAAAATAGTCCAGCGCAAACTGGTTAAAACAATCTGCTGAGTCATATGAAATATTTACCTTTTAGACGTCATAGTTGGAAATGATGGCGTTGAACAGCGTGTACAAGGCATTCAACAAGTTAACAACCTGGAAAGTTAAAGGGAATATACAACATTTGCAAACATCGAAAATAAAGCTACCAAGTTTTTGCGAAATACCTTAATAGGATGTTGGTAAATGACAGTCTAAAGCATCCTGTAAAATTATGGCACCTGGTATACTGTCATTTTCAAGAAAAGCGTTATTTTTGTATCAATTTCCAACGCTGATCGGCCGATCAGCGTTGGAAACAACTGGCTTTTTTTCAAATACTGGCCCCAATTGACCATTGCACTTGTTTGCAATCGATTACAAACCTATGAACGGGTACGAGCCAGCTAGACTGGTTCCCTGACCTTACAATTCCCCAATGTATGTAAACTGCTCTGTTTCTTCTTATATGGAGTCAGGGAACCAGACTACAGGAAAATGATCGTTTTTCTTGGTTTTTATAGCATTTTCGAACCCAAAACCTCCAAAAATTCAGTGTAGCTATATTTGCTTTATATTTCCAAACCCCCAATTCCATCCATTTCTGAAAATTACAGCAAAAGCAAATGATGTATATTCCCTTTAAGCGCAAGATGTAAAGGGTAACTTTGGTGACACTATTGGTTTGCAATTATTTTTGGTGCTACTGTAATTGGTGATTTGGCCGCTGTTGGATCCGGTTGAAATAAATAAATAAATAAATAATCTGAGTAGACAATTTGATCAAATTTGAGTGCATTTTATGTTTTGAACTTAAGCCACCTTTGAGAATATGATTGAAAAGTACTAGGCCCTACATGCCCTAGGTGCATGTATATCTAGGCTGATTATAAAGATTACGTGCACAAACAGTAGATTGTCCCTTTTTGACAACTTTTGAGAGCCCTAGTTGGAGAGACGCATTGCGTGAATGTACTGGTACGCGCCCTTTCGTGTAATTATGTCATCATGCCAATGTTTGTGTTGGACATTCCTCACTAAATATTTGCCTTATTTATATAACTGTAGCAAAATACTTCCGTCTTCAAGTTAAATTTATTATCATTGCACTTCTGGTTACACTGGAAGTAAAGGTCAAATGGTATGCGCCCTGGACATGCTGGAACAAAATATTGCCAGTAGCAATGTCTGAAACAAAAAAAAATGAGAATACTACTCTGTTCCGTTATAGCCTTATTAAAAGTAAGCTTTCAAATTTTCATGTTAACCAGCTTGTAATAAGCCATTTGCGAGTTAAATTTGAATAAAATCTGGTATGCTGACTTAATCCAATGGTTTGCACGTTTAAACTTTGCATTCTCCCGACCAAAGACACTGTTTCAATATCACGTGATTCGGGGCAAGCCTTATGCTAGCAACCCCCAGCTCCGGCATGGTCTGGTGTCTTTGTGCCATTCTCACCCATTGTGAACGATGTATTGGTGCTGAGCATAACTATGCAAGAGCTTGCCCCAAATCATGTGATTAGCAACAGTGTCTTTGGTCTGGAGAATTCAAAGTTAAAATGGGTCAAGCATTCTGAGCAAGTCAGTGTACCAGATGTTTTTCAAATGTAAATCCCAAAGGGTGTAGGTTACTCGCAAATGACTTATTTGATACCAGGGGATGTCATGATGACATCACAATTTCTTTTACATCTTCGGACCAGGGTTCAAATTCCATCTACATGTAGGTTTTATCGTCATCACGTGAACTGTTTGGAAAAGATGTGGTTCGTTTTGATTTTGAGGCTTCTGTCTGTAATTTAAACTCACCCAACTTTGACCTTCCAGTAGACCCGGAAGTAAAGGTCGAGCGAGTTCACGTAGGTTTAGGAGAAAACCCGTAAAGAATTATTGTCCAGCAAAAAAAACCCAAAGAATAATTATTACCATTTCAAAAAGGTGATCCGGTCGTACCCGATCAAAAAGTCCCCAAAAACATTCAGTGTGATGAATCCTGCTTTTGACAGATTTTCCACTTTTTTTCTGTCTTAGTTTTATTGTGCTGAGCATAAAAATCGGGCAAGAAAGATCTTTTGCTGTTACTCCCTCAACCGTTTTAAAGTACAGTTAGAGCATTTTCTCTTCAAATATGAAAAAGTCTTACTTTGCAGTACTTCGAGTCTGTTCCATCCCTGTGAAGCACCAGCAAGGTAGTGATTGATGTACAAGGGAGCTCTGGTCTGAGTCTGTTCCATCCCTGTGAAGCACCAGCAAGGTAGTGATCGATGTACTTGATGCAGTCCTTCTCCTGGGCCGTATAGTGCTTCTCAAGGGAGCTCTGTTCTGAGTCTCTTCAATTCCTGTGATGCACCAGCAAGGTAGTGATCGATGTACAAGGGAGCTCTGGTCTGAGTCTGTTCCATCCCTGTGAAGCATCAGCAAGGTAGTGATGTGTACTTGGTGCTGTCCTTCTCCTTGGCCGTATAGTGCTTCTCAAGAGAGCTCTGGTCTGAGTCTGTTCTAGCCGTGAGAAGCAGTCCTTCTCCTGGGCCTTATAGTGCTTCTATAGTGCTTCTCAAGAGAGCTCTCTGATGTGAAGTGAGCTGGTAGATCTGCCATCACCTGGTCAAGAAATTTGAATATTGTCAATTTGGGAAAAAATGTTTGATACTGATTGAGACATTTACTTGTATTCATTATTAGCTATCCTGCAAATTCGAGTGGAACAAGGTTAAAAAAAATAGGTTAACCAGTTTGCGTCGGATAACGTGTAAACAAACAAAGATTTTGCAGTATTCGTAGCGGATGACAGATGAACAAGCAATGATAGCTGAGTCCTATCAATACAGATGTCAAATAGGTTCAAAAAAATCTTGGAGTTTTTAAGAATAAATTATTGTTTCACTGAAGAAGAAGTGTCTTTGCTCCCTTATTAGTCCCATCCTTGTAGATAGGATAGGATGCCTAGTTATATATCTTTGATACAAACGAATCCGGGAAATATAAATTTATAGTGACTTGGCATCATTACATCTTGCAAGGTGACAGGAAAAAGTCCTGAATAGCGCCCTCTACTCCACCTCCCCCGGCCGCATTACATGACAAAAACAATGAAACAAGTCCATTGGTTTTACTTTAAACATGCCTTAGACCTTACTCCATATTTTTTATACAATTTCCTTAAAACATAAGTAGTGACTATCAAAGGTTATTAATATCACTCAATCTGAAAATAAAAAGAAAACAAAAATCCCCCACTTGCATTATTGTCCATTCAGCCATAAAAAAATCGTTGTACGTCAATTTTGATCTGTTGAGTCAATTTCCTTTTTTCTTTAAAGTTTTCTGTAGCTACAACAGTGCCCTTTAGTGCTGCACCACCTCAAATATTTAGCACTAAGCACAAGGGCACCAACGCAAATGATAGGGCACCAAGTCAAATGATGTAACACCATATGAGAACTCAAACAAACAAAGCAGTACCACTTTGCTATTTTTTCCCAAGCTTGGATGGTACAGACAAAGAATATTTTTTTATACGCATCACTAGTTTGAATACAATTTAACTCTTTCAGTGCCAAACTCGTACATGTACGAGGTATATTTGTTAGTCCAATAGCGCCAACCTCGTACATGTACGAGGTAATGTTCGTAAATGTTCGTACTTAAAATTGCCAAACCTCGTACATGTACGAGGTAGAGTAAATATGTTATCAAAAGGGGGCGCTCTTGCTCTTTCTAATGGTACCATTTTCATGCACGTACGACCTGTATTTATTTTTTCATTCGAGTTCTTGAGAGAGGGCGCAGCACTAAATCTCGTATTTTCTGCAAAAAGTGCGGAATCTCCCTGTGTTCAGGCCAGTGTTTCAGGGTGTATCACTATGTTTGTGACTACTTTTGACTTTCAAATATATCAAGGATATACCAGAGAGTAACAACAACAAATTTAGTGAGTAAAACTTATTTACTTTTTTTTTTACAGAATTTTGAACAATTAACAAAAACGCTCGAAGTTGGGCGCTTTAGGGTTAAACTTTTCAAATTTCGCGGGCACTGAAAGAGTTAATACCAAATTAGTGACTCTCAACAGTATAGTTATGAACTCACAGTCTGTTTGTTTGATGACGGAATTTTTGTTACAACTTCCACATGGTAGTAGATTAAAAGGCGACTACAAAATACTTCAGTCTTTGTTAAAAAAAAAAAAAACTGACTTGATCAAAGTTAGTTATTGTACAAGTGTGATGAGACCTAAACCTTTTTTTTTCTGAATCTTTTTCTTAAAGTTGCTAAACGAAAGCTGTAATCGCGAACAACAAATCTGTTGGTGAACACACAATTGAGTGTTAATTTGAATTTGTTGTTAGGTTTTTCAAATAGACCTACAAACGCTGTGGTATAATAGCTGATTATGCTTTTTACCTCTTTACAAAAAATTGCTGATCCAAATGCGTTGCAGATAATGTTGGGATAATATTCTGGTTGTTTACAAGTTTTGTTCGGGTGGCTTGATTCGGTCGATCTTGTAGCATGGATCATGTCCCTCGAGCCAGTACGTCAGACTTTCACCTTTGCCCTGAAATAAAAGAAAGGAAAAATATAAGAGATTGGTTGAAACAGTTATCTCATGTTTCCTTTGAAATATGATGGACTTGAGAATTTGCAGCAGTGAAAATTGAAGGAAGGGTAGATCATTTGTCCCAAGTGATTTTTTTCCCATTTGAAGCAACAAAAGTTCTCAAAATCTAAAGATGGGTGCTTAACAACTACCCCAAATGAAGTTAAAGATATGTGAATGCTGTGTTTTCAGAGGAAACAATATTCTACGATCTCAATTTCTATTCAAAAGTTGCTGAGACACGTTTGTTCTCATTCAGGTGATTGAAGCTTTGCAATGTTGCACACTAAACCGCTGAATGAGTCATGTCAACACTTGTGCACACCCATTCACAGATTAGTCCGATCACAAACCAACTACTAACGAAACCTTCCAAAAAATGTGTCATTTGACACACTATTTAGAAATGGCCTTCTTTTATTGTTCTTCACAATGACAACATGTAATGCCAGAGAGAATAATTTCACAGTCTGACTAGCTGTACCAAGGGTTGTTTTTCTATTTTTATAGTAATTTTCCTCTTTTTGTATCGATCCTAAGTTGCAGCTGGACTCTGATGTTCTCAAAGAGCTATATTAAAGTACAATACTTGTGATGTACTTGTGACTAGACTTGTGATATATGCTTGCGACTGGACCTGTGATGTACTTGTGACTAGACTTGTGATGCACTTGTGACTGGACTTGTGTTGTACATGTACTTGTGACTAGAACTGTGATATACTTGTGACTGGACTTGTGATATACTTGTGACTGGACTTGTGATTTACTTGTGACTGGACTTGTGATGTACTTGTGACTGGACTTGTGATATACTTGTGACTGGACTTGTGATTTACTTGTGACTGGACTTGTGATGTACTTGGACTCGACTTGTGATAGACTTGCCACCAGACTTGCGATGTACTTGTGACCAGACTAGTGATGTACTTGTGACTGGGCTTATGATGCACTTGTGATTAGACTTGTGATGTTCTTGTGACTGGACTTGTGATGTACTTGTGACTGGACTTGTGATGTACTTGTGACTATACACTTGTAATGTACTTGTGGCTGGACTTGTGATGTACCTGTGACTAAACTTGTGACGTACTTGTGACTGGACTTGTGATGTTCTTGTGACTGGACTTGTAATGTACTTAGGGCTGGGCTTGTGATGTACTTGTGACTAAACTTGTGACGTACTTGTGACTAGACTTGTGATGTACTTGTGACTGGGCTTATAATGCATGTGTGACTGGACTTATGATGTACTTGTGACTGGACTTCTGATGTACTTGTGACTAGACTTGTGATGTACTTGTGACTGGACTTGTGATATACTTGTGACTGGACTTGTGATTTACTTGTGACTGGACTTGTAATGTATTTGTGACTTGACTTATGATGTACTTGTGACTGGACTTGTGACTGGACTTGTAATGTACTTGTGCCTGGACTTGTGATGTACAGTACTTGTGATGTACTTGTGACGGGACTTGTGATGTACTTGTGACGGGACTTGTGATGTACTTGTGACTGGACTTGTGACTGGACATGTGACTGGACTTGTAATGTACTTGTGACTGAAATTGTAATGTGCTTGTGATTGGACTTGTGACTAGACTTGTAATGTACTTGTGACTGGGCTGATGATGCACTTGTGACTTGACTTGTGATGTACTTGTGACTGAACTTGTGACTGGACTTGTGACTGGACTTGTGATGTACTTGTGACTAGACTTGTGATGTACTTGTGACTAAGCCTGTTCGATATCCATTTATTTTTAAATCGGCAAATCGTGAAAAAAATATCGGATATCGCGATATTATCGTGATGACGTCATTTTTCCATTCGTGGAACAATGGAATAACAAAAAAAACAAAAACAAAAAAAAACGAACGACCGAAGTCACGATCCACTGCCGCCAAAAAACCCCAATATGTCCTGAACAAAAAATCGTCAATTTTATTTGACTAGAGTCTCATTTACTTTGCCAATTTAGGTAGAAAACAAATTCCACATTCAAATATCGAAAACAAAATTACCTTGAAATGTTGGATAAAAATGTGCAAATAGAAATCCATATCGAGGAAAGAACGAAGCACTAGCACGCAATGCACGCCGCACTGATCCCCATGTGCACTCATAGTACAGCCCACACCATTTGTAGTCAAGGGTGTGCTTCATTGAAAACAATTTACCAGTATTTCCACCTTTTCAGAATTACAAATATTTTTTTTTAATGGAGTCCGAAATATTTCCTGGTTCAGAAAAAGTTCTTCATCGTTACAAACTAACAAAATATTTTTTTTTCTAAAGATTTTTTTCGAAAAACGATGTTAACTCCAAAATGAGGGTGAAGCACCCCTTTACAAAAATTAATGGATCAGTCCAATTTCTTGTGACGCATTTTCTGCTCTGTGAACGAAATAAAAGGCACAACTGAACAGTTGGTTTTCGATGTTTTTTGTTGCTAAAAATATGAACAGATTTCATAAGTTTGGGACAGTTTTGGCACTAAGCAAGTGTAAGTGCCCAGGCACAACCACGGAAGAGAAGGAACGAGTCAGGAAAATACGTGCAGGAAAATTTGATCTCATTTACTTATTTTTAAATCGGCAAATCGTGATTTTTTTTTTCTCTCCCTAACGATATCCGCAAATACGCTATGGCGTTTTGGACTATACTTTTCTAAAAACATGAGAAGAAAATCACAAATATAAATATATGGAATTCGGGCTTTATTTCCCTTTTTAAAAAAATCCTCCCAAGCATCAGGTTAGAAAATAAAAAAATATTATAAGCACTACCGTGATTCGAACCCGCGACCCTCGCGGTTCATAATCCAATGTACTATCGACTGAGCTGTCACACTGCTCGCTTAAAAATTGGAAAACTAATAAATATAGTGCCCCGTGTCATAAAAGGATTCGCAGAGGGCGCTTAACGTGCGTATGCGGATGTGTCGTTTGGGCTGGAAAAAGAAAATTTGCGGGCACGGTGTGGTCTCCGATCCTCTGGCCGCATGCCGAAACGAAACATTCACGTCTCAACATCGTAATCTACAATTCAAGTACATGTACATGTATTTGTGGTGTTTTTTCTGTACAACTTCACATTTCCGTCAAAACAAAACAGGCACCGTATTTTCTTTGCAAAATGTCAGAGACTTTGTTTCCCTTCGGTTAACTCCACGCACGTGATTACGATTTTGGCACTTGGTATGCGATATATGTGGGGTGAAACTGGGTGTTTGTACTGCCACGTGCAGCGTGCGTGGAAGACGCAAAATCCAATACACGTGACGTTAGTCAGTTGGTTCCGCCCCTGAATAGGTAAGACCTCGCGGTACAATGCCGCAACAGTGAATTTGTGGTTAGCGGTTTTTCATGGGAGCGCTTTAGCGACAATTTCAAGCCTTAAGGGATTGACTTTGGTTACAAAAGCGGTACCTCAAAAGAATATCGCGATATTTTTCGGCATATCGAATTTCACGATGTGCCGATTTTTTTTTATGAGATCGATACGATTTCCGATATGAAAATTTAATCGAAATATCGTGAAATATCGTCATACCGAACAGGCTTGCTTGTGACTGGACTTGTGATGTACTTGTGACGGGACTTGTGATGTACTTGTGACTGGACTTGTGATGTATTTGTGATTTATCAATCTTAAGTATCTCGACCACAAGCAAAGACAATGATCTTACCTGAGTGAATACCGATGCGGAGTTTGAGTTTCTCATCTTGTTTGTGTGGCATGATCAACTATCATCGCCCTCCAGAAGATGCCATGCAGCGGAGGCGATCATACCAGCATGACGGCTGCCATTACGGATCAGTAGGCAAGAGACCAACATGTAGGCATCGTCGATGCTTTCAACCTTGGCAAGATGTTATTATTTAACATTGGTTAATTTTGCATTCAGACATTATAATAGAACATACATATTTGCGTGGTTTTTCCCTGAACTAGTAACCATGGTAGCATCAACTTAACCTCTGAGTGATTGTCATGACTATGCCTGCGAACAGCCCAGTAATGTTGACAATGATAATGCAAGTGACTCTTTGTAATTATATCACCGCACCCACAGATTCTGTGTTTTTCAGTGGCCGAGAGTGTGCATCACATAGTATTTGCTATTTTCCGTCTACATGTACATGGCTAAAAGGACTATATGACACCTTCCATTTTAATACTGACTATTTTGAGTGGCATAATCAAACTAGCCTCCTAGACCTGTTTTATAATGCCACTCGAAGCAGTCAATATGCAAGACTACATTTGTATAAGCATAGCTTGTAAAGTACTCTGATAGTAAAACAGATCTAAGATGGTAGAATCAAGTTAAGGGGTTACGGGTTAAGTGCTTTCTGTCAATGTATTGTTGATCATTTCATGTTTGCATATTAACCATAATAAATGAACTTGGATAAGTGTATTAAGTATAATCTATTGCAGTACCCTTTAAAACTAACTTCCTGTGATATGGCACGTTTGGCTTAACCAGTTCACATCAGACAACGTGTATGTATACACGCAAGGTTTTGTGGTAATCGGAATGGATGATGGATAAACACACAACAAGCGAGGCCCAAAATGTCTGTCAGTGGCCCGCTTGCAGCGAGATACCCGTAGATGACAGCCTGAAGCCGTCTGGCATCCAGATTCATGAAAACAATCCCAAGTCTTGGTCTGGTCAATGTCAAAATAGTCCAGCGCGAACTGGTTAAAACAATCTGCTGGGTCATATGGAATATTTACCTTGTAGACGTCATAGTTGGAAATGATGGCGTTGAACAGCGTGTACAAGGCATTCAACAAGTTAACAACCTGGAAAGTTAAGCGCAAGACATGCAAGATGTAAAGAGTAACTCTGGTGACACTATTGGTTTGCAATTATTTTTGGTGCTACTGTAATTGGTGATTTGGCCGCTGTTGGATCCGGTTGAAATAAATAAATAAATAAACAATCTGAGTAGACAATTTGATCAAATTTGAGTGCATTTTACGTTTTGAACTGAAGCCACCTTTGAGAATATAATTGAAAAGTACTAGGCCCTACCTGTACATGCCCTAGGTGCATGTATATCTAGGCTGATTATAAAGATTACGTAGATTGTCCCTTTTTGACAACTTTTGAGAGCCCTAGTTGGAGAGACGCACTGCGTGAATGTACTGGTACGCGGCCTTTCGTGTAATTATGTCATCATGCCAATGTTTGTGTTGGACATTCCTCACTAAATATTTGCATAATTTATATAACTGTAGCAAAATGCTTCCATCTTCAAGTTAAATTTATTATCATTGCACTTCCGGTTACACTGGAAGTAAAGGTCAAATGGTATGCGCCCTGGACATGCTGGAACAAAATATTGCCAGTAGCAATGTCTGAAACAACAAAAAAATGAGACTGTTCCATTATAAAGTTATAGCCTACATGTAATTAAAAGTAAGCTCTCAAATTTTCATGTTAACCTGCTTGTAATTTGATACCAGGTGATGTCATGATGACATCACAATTTCTTTTACATCTTCGGACAAGGGTTCAAATTCCATCTAGGTTTTATCGTCATCACGTGAACTGTTTGGAAAAGATGTGGTTCGTTTTGATTTTGAGGCTGCTGTCTGTAATTTAAATTCACCCAACTTTGACCTTCCAGTAGACCCGGAAGTAAAGGTCGAGCGAGTTCACGTAGGAGAAAACCCGTAAAGAATTATTGTCCAGCAAAAAAACAAAAAAAAGAATAATTATTACCATTTCAAAAAGGTGATCGGGTCGTACCCGATCAAAAAGTCCCCAAACATTCAGTGTGATGAATCCTGCTGTTGACAGATTTTCCACTTTTTTTTGTCTTAGTTTTATTGTGCTGAGCATAAAAATCGGGCAAGAAAGATCTTTTGCTGTTACTCCCTCAACCGTTTTAAAGTACAGTTAGAGCATTTTCTCTTCAAATATGAAAAAGTCTTACATTGAAGGACTTTGAGTCTGTTCCATCCCTGTGAAGCACCAGCAAGGTAGTGATCGATGTACTTGATGCAGTCCTTCTCCTGGGCCGTATAGTGCTTCTCAAGGGAGCTCTGGTCTGAGTCTGTACCATCCCTGTGTAGCACCAGCAAGGTAGTGATCGATGTACTTGATGCAGTCCTTCTCCTGGGCCGTATAGTGCTTCTCAAGGGAGCTCTGGTCTGAGTCTGTTCCATCCCTGTGAAGCACCAGCAAGGTAGTGATTGATGTAATTGATGCAGTCCTTCTCCTGGGCTGTATAGTGCTTCTCAAGGGAGCTCTGGTCTGAGTCTGTTCCATCCCTGTGAAGCACCAGCAAGGTAGTGATCGATGTACTTGATGCAGTCCTTCTCCTGGGCTGAATAGTGCTTCTCAAGGGAGCTCTGGTCTGAGTCTGTTCCATCCCTGTGAAGCACCAGCAAGGTAGTGATGTACTTGATGCAGTCCTTCTCCTGGGCCGTATAGTGCTTCTCAAGGGAGCTCTGGTCTGAGTCTGCACCATCCCTGTGAAGCATCAGCAAGGTAGTGATGAACTTGGTGCGGTCCTTCTCCTGGGCCGTACAGTGCTTCTCAAGGGAGCTCTGGTCTGAGTCTGTTCTAGCCGTGAGAAGCAGTCCTTCTCCTGGGCCTTATAGTGCTTCTATAGTGCTTCTCAAGAGAGCTCTCTGATGTGAAGTGAGCTGGTAGATCTGCCATCACCTGGTCAAGAAATTTAAAAATTGTCAATTTGGGAAAACATGTTTGATACTGTAACAAAACAGGGGTATGTGACTAATATCATGTCTAGCCTCAGAAGCATCATGTCAGCCCGCGCGTTAAAGCGCACGATACTGTGGGGCAACCAATCAGCATGCGCGTCCTGCATGTACACTAGGCTGATGGGCATGTCTGGCTATGAATTATGCAGGCGTGTACTGCGTGATTGAGTGCATGATAGCGCACGCCGACCAATCAGCAGCGTGCGTCCGGCATGGTCTGGGGTGATTGCCTCGTGGCCTGGCGTGGGATCGGGACTCCTGTGAGAGACTTCAATGAGTAAACTACTGGGAGAGACCGCGTTGTGACACAAGCAATTATCGAGCAATCTCGTGAGCGTTTACTGAGTTACCCTGGTTGGACTGGAGCGGGAGAAAGCCCCAGCGCGCCTGGTGTGATCGGTCAGTAAAGCTGGACTTCGTTGTTTACATCCCCCTGTGCATTTTAAGGTCTTATCGGATAAGATTTGGGGTGGATTGTTGTTAAGAAGTCGGATATTTCAGATATACATGTAGGGCCTGAGTTAAGATAGTAGTGGGACTCGGAGTAAATCTGAAGGTTGGGGGAACAGTTAGGCTTAGTTCAGACTTAAGGATTGTCTTCCGTTGTTTGTGCCATTTGGCGTAGCTGCGGTATAGCTGCCCTGTGAGTCCGTTGGCTTGTTTTCCCATTGAGAAAATAGTGTAGCTAAGATTGTTCGGAAGGTCTGTCTGCCGTTGATCTATGCCCATTGGCGTGGCTGCGGTTGATGCAGACTTGGACAACTGAGAGCTCGCTTTTCCTGCTGGGGAACCCGCTTAATGTGACTTTGTGGAGGGAATTGCATGCCGTTGTCCTGTGCAACTTTGGCGTAGATACGGTTGATTGCGACCCTGTAAAGTCTGTGAACCCTGAGTTTCCCGAAGGTTTACTGGGTTAACGTCAGGGGACTATTATTATCATCGGGTGGGTTATAACGTTACTACACTACCCCGTGTGTGTTATTCGCTGGTCAAGCAAGTAGCAAGGACTGTGTTGTAGTGTATACATCTACTCTGTTATTGTAGACCTCATTAGAGTCATTTTGTGCAAAGTGAAAGAACACTAGCCCGTTATTTAAGTCAGTGGTGCAGACGACCACTTTATAAATTACATGTAGGAACCCCGAGAAGTATAGGTGAGGTATACCCAAGTGAGGTTTACCTTACGTGAATAACCCCGCTCAGCTGTGAATTATAATTGTGCAAGTTAATCATAAGGGAGTGCAGTTGACCCCTGTTGAACCAGATGTTTATAATTGTATAAGCTAAAGGGTGCAGTTGACCCAAGAGCTGTACGAAGGTTATAATTGTATAAGCTAATGACAAGGGGTGCAGTTGACCCCTCAGCTAAGAGCGAGGTTTACTAGTGCTTATTCTAACAACGAGGTTTACTAGTGTTCATTATCACAGCGAGGTTTACTAGTGCTTATTCTAACAGCGAGGTTTACTAGTGCTTATTCTAACAACGAGGTTTACTAGTGTTCATTATCACAACGAGGTTTACTAGTGCTTATTCTAACATTGTCTAACAGCGAGGTTTACTAGTGTTCATTATCACAGCAAGGTTTACTAGTGATTGTTTTAAGAATGAGGTTTATCAGTGTTAATTCGAACACCGTCCGAGGTTGACCTGGATTCATCAGAACTGTGAGGTTTATCATTGTATAAATTATTGAATGGTGACGCATTGACATTATAATTGAAGTGTGCTAAAGGAATAAACTAACTGATTAACGTCTTGGAATAACTGGTTACTGTGAAGCTTACATGTATGTAGTCCCGCTCTCTGTTGGATAGATCGCAGAATGATCGCAGTCGATTTTCGGTTCAATCCCTCAGAGCGCGTCGCAGGGGGTATGGTAGGAGCGGAACGATAATATGCGCATGCGTACAAGTGCAAGTACGTACCCCCCACGGCGCTCTCCGAGCGATCGCGATTGAACCGAAAATGACTGCGATCATTCTGCGCGCGTGCACGTTTCAAGTGTCAGGTTGGCTCAGTGCGGAAAGGGCATATTTTTCATCATTTTTGCCGAAAAACCGACAGAATCCACCGATGTTTGTTTGGTGCACATAACGTGAGTATGTCATGAGGTATTGTACGGAGTTTAGGGGCAAACTGTGCAGCGGTTCTGTGGGAAAATGCTTGGTTGGGATGGACGTTTTTGTGCTTAGTTGGTGTTTTGTATAGCAAACAGTTTAGTGGGGTAATCTGCCTATGAGCCTCATCATAGTTCTAGGAGTACTCAATTCATACTAGGATAACTGAGATTACAACTTGAAATTAAAAGGAATCAAACCAAAGAAGCAGTAGGATCTGAACCAAAAACGTTTCAATTCATTCAAGGGTAACTAAGGCTACACCTTGGAACAAAAGAGGAATCGAACCAAGGTCAAACCCATACAGGACTCAAACTTGCTACTTACTTTAATCATCAATGATCTAAGTCAGCACAACTCCGTCAATGAGTGGAGGTTGATCCATGTCTCAATGGTGTGCTCGATTGATTGCCTCGTCCACTGCTTCGTTACCACCCAAATAACTCCCCAACCAAGAGAACTGGTTGGTTGATTTTTATCAGCTGTTTGAGCAAAAAATAACAGTAATCATAGGAAAATGAGACATTTTCTCTCTTTGTGCAGTTCTCTCTTGAAGGCATTACTAGTGTTCAAAAATTACCAACATTCAAAAAGGTGTCATTACATTGAGAGAAGTCTGCTTTAGGTTGACAACATTTTTTAGCCATACAAAAATTGATTCGAATTTGATCAAAACAAAACAGGGGCCCTACACTATACATGATCGCCAAAATGATGATACTGAGTGATACTAACAACATAAATCTGGGACTGCATGCACTGAGAATTAACATTTCCAATTGTGTTAGGAAAATAACTTACAGCATTTTTTTCTTGACTCTCATTCGTGTCCAAAGACCTTATACACACACACACACACCCACACACACCCAAGTTTACGTTACATACCAAGTGTGGACTTTCCATTGCTTTCGTGTAGTTAAGAAAAACAGGTGAAAAAAACTCATTTTTCTCAAACTGTGAAAACTCTTTCAACCCAATTTTTTTCTATGATTCCCTTTAGTGTTTCTCTTCATTCTGCTACGGATAAACCTAACCCAAAAATGCCTCTAAACCTGTTTTCCAGAAATGGGGAAACACTGTGTGGACTTGCCCAAGTCCGCACAGTGTCTCCTCTACCTGGTTTATGTGGACATCTTTTGTTCCGAAGTCCACACAGTGAATGTAATGCACACACCCCCCACACACACAATTTATCGCAGAAGTGTCGTCAGCTCAGGATGCAACATTTTTTCCAGTAGGGCAAACACTGACATCAAGGGAATTTGTCTACCTTGGGAAAGTTGGTTGACTTCCCTCCTGCACCGCCGTCATGACATCCGAAATGATGCGATCGGCGATGACATTGGCTATGGCTCATCCAACAACAACATCGATGATCAAGCCCACGTCATGCACGTGAAGGTTTGCTAGCTACACATGCCAGAAGTAAACGCAAGTTCATCCAAAGACTCCTCAATATTCCAAAGGAACGGAGAGACAGAGGTTGTACACCATGTCTGCAGTCCTATGAATATTAGAAATACGATAATGAAATAAGAGCACGAAACTGGAGTGGGAGGGTTTCAACCAAAGACCCATAATCACAAACGCAGAAAAGTAAACAAACTATACACACCAGTCCAAGACAGCTGCGTGTTTGGCAATTAAACTGTGTTTGGCGCCCTCAATATTGAGGGCGCCAAACACGTTTCATTGACTGCACCAAACACAGTCTGAGATCAATGGCACAAACCACCAAAGACATAAACGCACAAACCAAGATGTGTAGAAAACATGTACCTGTGTTTCCCCAAGAGTGGATCCAGAACACAATTTTTTTGGGCAGGGCGAAAAAAAATTTGGTCCCACAAAAAGTGATTCCAAAAATTACGGCGTTTGGAATATACAACATTTGCAAACATCGACAAATAAAACTACCAAGTTTTTACGAAATACCTCACTAGGATCTTGGTTAATGACAGTCTAAAGCATCCTGTAAAATTATGGCACTTGGTGTGAAGTCATTTTCAAGAAAATGGTATTTTTGTATAAATTTCCAACGGTGGTCGGCCGACCACCGTTGGAAAACCTAACTATTTTTCAACTACTGCTCCAAATTTACCATTTTGTTCAGTCAAAATTGTGTTTGCTATTGGTTACATGTTCATGAACGGGTGCAGCCCAGCTAGACTGGTTCCCTGACCTAATAATTTTCCGGCATCTAAAAAAATTGATCCATTTCATCTTTAGTGGAGTCAGGGGGAACCAGACTACTTGAACGTTTTTGTTTTCTTGGCTTTTTCAGCATTTTCGAACACAAAACTACAAACATGTCTGTGTAACAATATTTGATCTATTACTAACCCCTCAAATAGTTCATTTCTAAAAATAACAGCAAAAGCCAATGATGTACATCCCCTTTAAGGGCCCCGAAAAACTTTTGGATTCTAGATGCTCTTTGGTGCGATCTGAGGGAATTTCTGACCACTTTAACCAACGTTTTGAGAGCATGAAACTGGAGTGGGAGGGTCTCAACCAAAGACCCATAATCACAAACGCAGAAAAGTAAACAAACTATACACACCAGTCCAAGACAGCTGCGTGTTTGGCAATTAAACTGTGTTTGGCGCCCTCAATATTGAGGGCGCCAAACACGTTTCATTGAGTGCACCAAACCATTGTGTACACAGTCTGAGATCAATGGCACAAACCACCAAAGACATAAACGCACAAAAAAGCAAGCTGTGTAGAAAACATGTACCTGTGTTTCCCCAAGAGTGGATCCAGAACACAATTTTTTTGGGCAGGGCGAAAAAAAATTTGGTCCCACAAAAAGTGATTCCAAAAATTACGGCGTTTGGAATATACAACATTTGCAAACATCGACAAATAAAACTACCAAGTTTTTACGAAATACCTCACTAGGATCTTGGTTAATGACAGTCTAAAGCATCCTGTAAAATTATGGCACTTGGTGTGAAGTCATTTTCAAGAAAATGGTATTTTTGTATAAATTTCCAACGGTGGTCGGCCGACCACCGTTGGAAAACCTAACTATTTTTCAACTACTGCTCCAAATTTACCATTTTGTTCAGTCAAAATTTTGTTTGCTATTGGTTACATGTTCATGAACGGGTGCAGCCCAGCTAGACTGGTTCCCTGACCTAATAATTTTCCGGCATCTAAAAAAATTGATCCATTTCATCTTTAGTGGAGTCAGGGGGAACCAGACTACTTGAACGTTTTTGTTTTCTTGGCTTTTTCAGCATTTTCGAACACAAAACTACAAACATGTCTGTGTAACAATATTTGATCTATTACTAACCCCTCAAATAGTTCATTTCTAAAAATAACAGCAAAAGCCAATGATGTACATCCCCTTTAAGGGCCCCGAAAAACTTTTGGATTCTAGATGCTCTTTGGTGCGATCTGAGGGAATTTCTGACCACTTTAACCAACGTTTTGAGAGCATGAAACTGGAGTGGGAGGGTCTCAACCAAAGACCCATAATCACAAACGCAGAAAAGTAAACAAACTATACACACCAGTCCAAGACAGCTGCGTGTTTGGCAATTAAACTGTGTTTGGCGCCCTCAATATTGAGGGCGCCAAACACGTTTCATTGACTGCACCAAACCATTGTGTACACAGTCTGAGATCAATGGCACAAACCACCAAAGACATAAACGCACAAAAAAGCAAGCTGTGTAGAAAACATGTACCTGTGTTTCCCCAAGAGTGGATCCAGAACACAATTTTTTGGGGCTGGGCGAAAAAAAAATTTGGTCCCACAAAAAGTGATTCCAAAAATTACGGCGTTTGGAATATACAACATTTGCAAACATCGACAAATAAAACTACCAAGTTTTTACGAAATACCTCACTAGGATCTTGGTTAATGACAGTCTAAAGCATCCTGTAAAATTATGGCACTTGGTGTGAAGTCATTTTCAAGAAAATGGTATTTTTGTATAAATTTCCAACGGTGGTCGGCCGACCACCGTTGGAAAACCTAACTATTTTTCAACTACTGCTCCAAATTTACCATTTTGTTCAGTCAAAATTTTGTTTGCTATTGGTTACATGTTCATGAACGGGTGCAGCCCAGCTAGACTGGTTCCCTGACCTTATAATTTTCCGGCATCTAAAAAAATTGATCCATTTCATCTTTAGTGGAGTCAGGGAACCAGACTACTTGAACGTTTTTGTTTTCTTGGCTTTTTCAGCATTTTCGAACACAAAACTTCAAACATGTCTGTGTAACAATATTTGATCTATTATACTAACCCCTCAAATAGTTCATTTCTAAAAATAACAGCAAAAGCCAATGATGTACATTCCCTTTAAGGGCCCCGAAAAACTTTTGGATTCTAGATGCTCTTTGGTGCGATCTGAGGGAATTTCTGACCACTTTAACCAACGTTTTGAGAGCATGAAACTGGAGTGGGAGGGTCTCACCAAAGACCCATAATCACAAACGCAGAAAGGTAAACGAACTACACACACCAGTCCAAGACAGCTGCGTGTTTGGCAATTAAACTGTGTTTGGCGCCCTCAATATTGAGGGCGCCAAACACGTTTCATTGAGTGCACCAAACCATTGTGTACACAGTCTGAGATCAATGGCACAAACCACCAAAGACATAAACGCACAAAAAAGCAAGCTGTGTAGAAAACATGTAACTGTGTTTCCCCAAGAGTGGATCCAGAACACAATTTTTTTAGGCTGGGCGAAAAAAAAATTTGGTCCCACAAAAAGTGATTCCAAAAATTACGGCGTTTGAATATACAACATTTGCAAACATCGACAAATAAAACTACCAAGTTTTTACGAAATACCTCACTAGGATCTTGGTTAATGACAGTCTAAAGCATCCTGTAAAATTATGGCACTTGGTGTGAATGCATTTTCAAGAAAATGGTATTTTTGTATAAATTTCCAACGGTGGTCGGCCGACCACCGTTGGAAAACCTAACTATTTTTCAACTACTGCTCCAAATTTACCATTTTGTTCAGTCAAAATTTTGTTTGCTATTGGTTACATGTTCATGAACGGGTGCAGCCCAGCTAGACTGGTTCCCTGACCTAATAATTTTCCGGCATCTAAAAAAATTGATCCATTTCATCTTTAGTGGAGTCAGGGGGAACCAGACTACTTGAACGTTTTTGTTTTCTTGGCTTTTTCAGCATTTTCGAACACAAAACTACAAACATGTCTGTGTAACAATATTTGATCTATTACTAACCCCTCAAATAGTTCATTTCTAAAAATAACAGCAAAAGCCAATGATGTACATCCCCTTTAAGGGCCCCGAAAAACTTTTGGATTCTAGATGCTCTTTGGTGCGATCTGAGGGAATTTCTGACCACTTTAACCAACGTTTTGAGAGCATGAAACTGGAGTGGGAGGGTCTCAACCAAAGACCCATAATCACAAACGCAGAAAAGTAAACAAACTATACACACCAGTCCAAGACAGCTGCGTGTTTGGCAATTAAACTGTGTTTGGCGCCCTCAATATTGAGGGCGCCAAACACGTTTCATTGAGTGCACCAAACCATTGTGTACACAGTCTGAGATCAATGGCACAAACCACCAAAGACATAAACGCACAAAAAAGCAAGCTGTGTAGAAAACATGTACCTGTGTTTCCCCAAGAGTGGATCCAGAACACAATTTTTTGGGGCTGGGCGAAAAAAAAAATTTGGTCCCACAAAAAGTGATTCCAAAAATTACGGCGTTTGGAATATACAACATTTGCAAACATCGACAAATAAAACTACCAAGTTTTTACGAAATACCTCACTAGGATCTTGGTTAATGACAGTCTAAAGCATCCTGTAAAATTATGGCACTTGGTGTGAAGTCATTTTCAAGAAAATGGTATTTTTGTATAAATTTCCAACGGTGGTCGGCCGACCACCGTTGGAAAACCTAACTATATTTCAACTACTGCTCCAAATTTACCATTTTGTTCAGTCAAAATTTTGTTTGCTATTGGTTACATGTTCATGAACGGGTGCAGCCCAGCTAGACTGGTTCCCTGACCTTATAATTTTCCGGCATCTAAAAAAATTGATCCATTTCATCTTTAGTGGAGTCAGGGAACCAGACTACTTGAACGTTTTTGTTTTCTTGGCTTTTTCAGCATTTTCGAACACAAAACTACAAACATGTCTGTGTAACAATATTTGATCTATTACTAACCCCTCAAATAGTTCATTTCTAAAAATAACAGCAAAAGCCAATGATGTACATCCCCTTTAAGGGCCCCGAAAAACTTTTGGATTCTAGATGCTCTTTGGTGCGATCTGAGGGAATTTCTGACCACTTTAACCAACGTTTTGAGAGCATGAAACTGGAGTGGGAGGGTCTCAACCAAAGACCCATAATCACAAACGCAGAAAAGTAAACAAACTATACACACCAGTCCAAGACAGCTGCGTGTTTGGCAATTAAACTGTGTTTGGCGCCCTCAATATTGAGGGCGCCAAACACGTTTCATTGACTGCACCAAACCATTG